TCTTTTTCTGCAGAGTTGGGAACACGTCTGTTAAATGTTGCCCAGGATTTGAGGAAACTCTTGTATTTTCATGATACCTTTATATATGCTTCTCTATGCAGATATTACCTTATATTTAGCTTCCTAGTATGTTTTTATTGATGTATTTAATGATACTTTGTGTTAGTGGCAAATGAAACAACAAAGAGCTCAACTTAGCACTCATACTGATGGTTTGTGAGGGGAAGGGCTGGGAATTTGATGATGTCCTCTTCCTCTACAGCTTTTTCACTGACTCAGAGGTATTTAATTCTGAAATGTTTTCTGCATTTTTCTAATCAATGCCTTGATTTCACAAGTGATCCAAATGTCCCATCACCGGGGGAATGTCCCATCACTCTTTCCATCGCATCCCCGTCCGCGGCGTGGCCAGGAGGAGGGCGGGAGGGAAGGCTGGGGAATGGTTCCTGCAAAGCGCGGCGCTTCGCTGCGGTGGTGCCGCCGGGGCTGCGCGTCCGTGTGCGGGGCGCAGCCTCGCTGAGCGCTCCGTGCCTCCGCTAATTGCCCCCCGCGCACCGGAGGAGGGGGCAGGCAGAGAAAAACGAAAGGTGTGAAAGTCCCAGTTTTTTAGGAATGCTCGTCACCCCGGCTGGTGCCCTTGCTGCTGTACCACGGCTCCCCGAAGCAGCTGACCGAGGCGGTGTCTGGGAAGAGCGATCGCGGGAATGCTGCGGAGCGGCGCTCGGCGGCGGCTGCGCCTGCAGCGTCCCTGGAGCGCCTCGGAGCCTGGTCCTCAGTGCCTGCCGAGCAGCTTGGCCGGTTAGCTCAGTTGGTTAGAGCGTGGTGCTAATAACGCCAAGGTCGCGGGTTCGATCCCCGTACGGGCCAGTTTCTGGTTTTTTGGATTTTTTTTTTTTTTTTTCCCCTTGGCCATGAGATTACTGACTTAGCAGAGAATCGCTTTATTTTGTTTTAGGGAAAGGAACGCGGTACCCCCCAAGAGGAAGCTGGACTTGGGCGGTCACGGGGGCACAGTGAGTGCGAGCTGGACCAGCGCCTCTCCCCATCCCATCCCACCCCGGGCCCGGCCAGGCGTCACCCCTACGCCAGGAGCCCACGGCCGGTGAGCTGGTACCACGTGGCGGCAGGGAGACAAGCCTCCCACATCTAATTCCTCGTTAGTATAGTGGTTAGTATCCCCGCCTGTCACGCGGGAGACCGGGGTTCGATTCCCCGACGGGGAGATAGAGCAGTTTCTTTTTCCTCAAACGGGGGAAAAGTAAACCCACGCCACACTTGCTTTTCCCCTCCCTGCTCCTCAACGAAGTTCGAGCTGGGAGACAAGACAATTAGATTGTCCAAAGCTGGCAGGAGTGTGAAGGCACGCAGCAGCGCCCTGATCCACCATCGGACCTCCCTGGCAATGGAGCTGGCCTGAGCAGCACTGTTCTGCTGTGCGATCGATCGCGGCACAGCTGCTCAATGCTGATTTTCCCAAAGACAGCCATCCTTCCATTCTCATGAGGTAACACTGAGACCTCAACCCACATTAGCCAAGTTATGCTGCTGCAGCACACCTTAAACCATTTCCCCCCCTTCTACAATTAAGACATCATCAAAATACATGTGAAGTACTACCTTTTCCACAGCTTCCTGAAAGCACAGTTTAAGGTTTAATATAATAACAAATATTCCCTTTATTCTTTAAAAAAATGTTTTTAAGCACACCAACATTTTATAAGGGTAAGCAGTGCTATTTAGGCACAGATAATGCTTTCATTTCCCTGAAGACACCACAGTAGTTTGCCATTTTGCAGTCATCTAAAGCATGCAGAGTAGCCCCGCGAGGCCTTCACCAGTCCTTCACAAGGCAGCAGCAACAGGGGATGACAACATTAGCCCATCAGTCTAAAAGAATGAGTTCATACACTTGCAAGTTCTAACAAGTCTACAGCATATTTAAGGCAGGAGGTAAGAGTATAAATAGACACACTGAAACACCACACAGCAGCAGTTTGAATGGGCTGGTTTGCAGGTATTCCTGTTCTCTCAGAATGGCTCAGTGGAAGCAATCAGTCTTGTTCATGATCTGTGTCAGTGCACCCAGTCTTTGGGATTTCGCAGAACCTCCAGAATTTCTGCTTCTTTGGAGCTCTCTGGTGGGTTGTGCATGTACTCCCACCTGCAAGGAGAAGGGAAACTCACTCAGATGGCCCAGCTGGCAGCCACTTCTCCTGCACCAGGCTGGGTTTGGACTGGAGTTGCCTTTTCTAAGGATGCAAAGCTACATACACAGTTGATACTCTTGGCTGAGATTACAGATATGGTTACAAATCACAAGTTCAGTAGAAAGAAATAATAATGCCACCAGGGTAGACAGGAGAAATGTTAGCTTCATCTTTTTACCAACTTTTGAAAAATCTGGAAGGACAAGGAAAAAGAAAAGAGCAGTACCCCATTCCCCACAAGGCATGCAGGTTTATTTGCAAAAATCTTGTAACAGTCTCTTGTGACACACTAGTATCACAAGGAAGGTGAACAAAACCAGGAACACACTGAATTCTGACAGTGACACAACCTTTTTCCAGAATCTGGACTGGAAGCTCTACGAGTCTTTGCTGAATCTTGGTTTTAAGAACAAAAGTGGTGAAAGATCCCTTTTTTCATTGAAAAAGCAATTGAAAGAGACACAAGAGAGAAAGGAAAGTGTCAGCAGTCGCAGAGAGATGGGTATGTCCTCCTTGCTCCTTTGCCCCCCCAAGGAATGACCCATTCATGCTGTGAAGTGAGCTAGTTCATTGATGAAAAAGAGCAAACCCAGACAATCACAGAAATGATAACAAAACACAGAACATGCTACACCACCAGGTCAGGGACACATCAGGTGTTGTCAGTAGGATGAAGATATACGGTGACAACAGCACTGCCTTCACAGTTACAAGGCAGCAGGCAGTTTTCCTAGGAATTCATAAAAGGATACCCAAAAGCAACCTGAAAGTGGGAATAAATAGTAAATGACCAAATTTGCTGGTGTGACAAGTGTAAGCAAGATGGGTTAAAACCTAAAAGGACAGAAAAACAGTATTTAGCCAAGCAACTGAGT